AGAGAGAGAGAGAGAGAGAGAGAGAGAGAGAGAGAGAGAGAGTGCAAGAATGTTGAAGGAGATATGCACACACACACACACACACACACACACACACACACACACACACAAGAAAATGCAGAGGCATTGACCGACGGACAAGATCATTCACGGAAATTGGCTGCAAGGGCCATGCAGATCCTCTGCACGCTATTCCATGATCAGGTGACCCCGTCGACGCACATGCGGGAAAGTGGATGCCAACTTCATTCATAGATGTCATCTTTTTTTCTCTAACTTTGGACCTTTTAGCAAGATATTTTTTTTGCCTTCTAGTAATTCATTGAATTTCAGCAATGCTCAGCATGTCTTTTTTTTCCTGTCTTGTCGTCTTTCTGTTTTGTTTTGTTTTGTTTAGGGGGGGGGGGGGATTTTCAATTTTGGACCATTCTCGATTTATGTGGGGCATCCTTTACGCCGCAGGGGTCATGCTATACGCCGCAAAACGGGTCCAGCGTCCCTTATGCCTCGGCCGTATGGGCCTGGGAAAAGCACTCCCGACCAATCCCATCCCCAACCGCAGCCAACAGTTCAATCAAGCATCACTCAAACCCCAACCATTAACCACCAAGAGAACCCCAATCTCCCACACAACAAATCTTAAAAAGCCACACTACATAAATAGTACATACTCTCTAAAATACAGACGTGCCCTAATTACAATCTACGAAAGCACAAAGTAGAATCCAAGAAAAGAACCAAAGACTCTCACAAAATTCCACCCCTTCGAAAAATCACAACCACAAAGTTCACAAACCCTAAACCCGCAATGGTCACCGGGGCATGCTAATCTTCTCTGTTTCCCTTACCATGGCTTTTTTTGTTTTTTTAATTTGGACCACTTGTCAATAAGCGTGTAATCCATGTTACAGTACAGAGGAGATAAAGCCACGCAGAAGCCACTCCCAAGCATAGGCAAGCTCCGGCGAACTATTTTTTTTACCTCTCCCGACTCGTCCAAACTTGGCACGCACTGGACCGTCCTACTATTTTCACTCCTCCAGACTCGTCCAAACTCCACACCAAGAGTGTCAAGCCACACAAAAGCCACTCCCAAGCATAGGCAAGCACACTGGGCTCTCCTACTATTATCCCTCCTTGAGAGAGACTAAACGGTTTTCACTAACCTAGAGGCCTCCAGAGATAGGCCCCTCCTACTATTTTCCCTCCTTTAGACTGGTCCCAAGATCTGCAACCAAAGCTATGAAGCCTCAAAACTTCGAAAGCCATTGCCAGGATGGCCAAGCACTGACCCCCCCCCCACCTATTTTCCCTCCTTGACAGACTAACCCCTACTGTTTTCCCTCCTCGACAGACTAACCCCTACTATTTTCCCTCCTTGACCGACTATCCTGCAGGTACCAAGTTCCAAGCTAAGGACCAACCGCTCGTATCAAGCCCCAAAGACAGCACTGAAAGGATGGGGCTTCCTAACGCTATTGCCAAGAACCCCAAGCACTGGGCTCCGCTACGATTCTCCCATCTCCAGATTGCACCACGATTCAGAACAAAAAGTTTTTAACTTTTAAGGTCTCAAAAGGTTTACGATGTATTTGCGAACGATCCCGGAGACCAAGTCGCAGTGCTCCTCCCTACCATCTTCCCATGAACATAACATACGGTAGGCTAAGCGCTGTATGTATATAGACTGAAAATGTCACCCCAAATACAGTTCTAATGACCATACATTCTTATTTCGAGCGAAGACGACAGGCTCCTGGCGACTACCGCCCAGTCGCCTTTACTCAAATGGCACCAATGGTGTGTGTCCATCCACCATAGCCCGGAGCTTCTCCAACCTTGGGGGGAGGAGACTTGGCTTGACACCCCTCGACATGCACAAAAGAAAAAAAATCATGGCGGCGTATCTCTCCATGTTCTATCGGAAGATTCACTCTCGTTTTGCACAGTAGTGCAGTGCACAATTCTACAGTAGTGCAGCAACGCCCGTTATCACAGCTCTTCTCAGCAGAGGAATTACTTCAGGATGAAAACAGCCCGAAAAAGAAAAAAAAAAAAGAGAAAAGAAAAAAGAAAAAGGGATGAAAGCTCTCCGGACTCCGAGGACACTTGGCACGGCACTTCCGAGGACACTTGGCACGACGGCACTTCCAGTTAGTTAAGGATGAACGCAGTCCGGGGGGGGAAGGGAAAAAAAAAGAAAAAAGAAAGGACGAAAGCCATCTGGACTCCGGGGTCAAGCAGGTTCTGAATGTGTCCCGGCTGAAAAGCTGTCAGCCACTGGTTAGGATTATGGGCATCGCCACACCACTCTCGAAATGTGCAAAAGGAGAATGAAACTTTCCGCTAGAACATGGCCATTTCTGTCTTTTTCACATTTCGAGAGTGGTATGGCGATGCCCTATGAATTCCCTCCTGCCGAGAGGCTGCTCTTCGGTCTAGCTGCGTCTATAGTAGCTCAAACAAGCACACACTGATACTATTGGACGTATCAGGTGCCGAAACCGCCTACAGGCCGAAAAAAGCCGCAGAGAAATCCTTTATGACAATTTTTAAGGCGTGTCTCGACTCAGGCGATTGCCCTTCTGCCCCTGAAACTATTGGTAGCATTTCTGTGGAACTGCAAAAAGGAGCGAAATTCCCCTCATGTCCCTGAACTTCTCACAGCATTTTCACTATAAAAAAAAAGCTTGAAAAAGGAAGAACTTGCACAGCATAAAACACCTAAGCCAAGCGTATAAGTCAAAAAAAAAAAAAAAAAAAAAAAAAGAAGAAGAAAAGAATTGCGTGTGTGCAAAAAAGAAGACAGCAGACTTCTTTAACAATTAGTTATTTCACACATATGAGTGGAGATGAGCTTGAGTCGAAAAACTCACACTGTACAACCCAAAAAAAAA